CACTCCCATCACTGCTCTCCGACTCACTGCTCCCTCCGCCGTCCGTTCCATCCTCCGCTTCTTCTGTACTCTCTCTCTGTCTCGTCCATCCCGCCTGACCGGGTCCATTGAACTCAACTCGGCCGTCCCCTGCAATCACGTCCCTCCTTTCGCCCTCGTCCGCTGAGTGCGTAGCTTCTGTTGTAGTTGGCTGTACAGAAGAAGCGGAGGATGGAACGGACGGCGGAGGGAGCAGTGAGTCGGAGAGCAGTGATGGGAGTGATGGTGAGAGTGCCGGTGAGAGTGTTAGTGTTGTGCGTAGGTTTCGTGGTAGCAAGTCTTCAGTGTACAATCATCTGCTGGCTAGTCCTGATTGTTGCGGTGCGTATTCCGACTCTTCGTTCACTGTATTGTACCGTGGTCGTCATGGTTATGGACTACAGTTAAAGGTGTTGGAAGCTATCTATCAGCGTCTGTACAAGCCTAATTTGTGTGTACAGAAAGATAGTATAATTGGGTTGAAATTGTTCAAGTAACGTGTCGTGTTTAGTGCGGCCAAGCTTGGCCGTTAATGTTCTAGGTGTAATGTACTGCTGTTATGTGTTATCACGTTGTCTTTCCTTCCTTTCTCCTTTGTTCAGTTCTCGCTTTGATTGTTAAAATTCACACTTGTAAATTTCACTGTTGTTGCTCTTAGTGTTATTTCTCTAACTTAGATTTTCTATAATAGTTCAATTTTTGTTTCAGTGTCCTTTAGTACAACGACGATTCCTGATGAGTGTTGTACGAAAACTTGTTTGAATCCATATTTTTTCCCTACACCATTTCTTCATATTTTCATCGTTTTATTGCACATCGTCTCCACCGTTTTTTACATTGCATGAAGAAAGTACACAAATGTCGGTTCAGCTAGTTTTATTGATTGCGGTTATCAAATTGTTGTCTCCTCGCCGTGTGTTTAAATCAGGGGATGGTTGGAGAAGGGACAATGAAGGGGAAGGGAAAACCTCAATCACAAAAGCGCAAAGTCATGAATAGAGATGTTCAGCAAGGGGATGAAGAGGAAGAAGGTCTCCCCAAGAAGGTGGTTAAAGCAGTTCCAAAACATGTCGCCTTGCCTGGTCGGTCTCATGGGAAAAGGAGACAATCAACAGAGGATAATGGCGAAATTGTGGAGGAGGGGGATGCTAAAAAGGTACGCAAATCATCTGGCAAGGACATTATATTGGAGCCGCCTGGTCGGTCTCATGGGAACAGGAGACAATCAACAAAGGATAATGGCAAAATTGTGGAGGAGGGTGATGCTAAAAAGGTGCGCAAACCATCTGGCGAGGACATTATATTGGAGCCACAACCTGCAAGGAAAAATGGGCTGCCTTAACAAAATGAAGAGGATGATGTTGATGACACTCATGGGTTGCGTCGGAAACATTGAATACATGAGACGGAAAGTCGCCCATCTACTCATTCTAATAATCCCACACCCAGTGAGGAGATCACCATGTATAGTGATGAGGAGGAAGATGGAGATGGTGAGGAAGGCCACTTTAACAGCGACTGGGAAGATGACTGGAGCCCAAACTATAACGCCTCTGGTAACACCCCTCTTGAAGTGCCTTTAGATACACTGCCTGATGACTTGGACGAAACACATGGATTTGTTAAAAGTCCAATGGTAGAAGAAGGTGACATACAGAATTTGGGGACGGACGTAAGTAGTGCAGATGAGGACAAGAAAATGGACATTGAAGACGAAGTAACTACTGCAGAGGACAGCGGCAGAGATGAGGCCATGGAAGCTGAAGGGCACAACACCTTCATTAAAAGCATCCCAGAAAACACGTCTATTGACGAAGACGACAGATTACCCATCCATGGCAAAAGAAGAAGGACATATAGCAATGATGAAGGGGTTGAAGGAGATGGTGATGGGGGCATTGGGAGTAAGAGGGATAAGAAAACAGACGAAGAAGCAGAAAGAGCTAGAAGGGCCAACGAATCCTTACTCAACGTCAGGTCTGCAGTTGACGACGTAGGCCAGAAGCAAAAACTAGAACAACACAGGAAGGTAATGAGAGAAATAGAAGAAGAGTCTGATCTGTTGCGGAAGGAGGAAGAAGATGTAAAAAAGTAGTAAAGTTTGCACGTCCGCGTTACCACCGGCTATACAATTGCGTTGAGAAACACAACCAGCTTAGGAAGTTTCGCATGTGCCAGGCCACCGCCATGCCTGTGCTACCAGGGTGGCAGATGCAGCGCCTAACGGCGAGGGTGAGGTGGTAAGTCTCACAACCATGCAATGCCCGACAAGTGGGCTAACCTCGTTAGCTGCATCCATGTTACCCTCACTCCGAGTAGTGAGTACCCAGTTGACCGTGGGGCGTGGGTGTCGGCGCAGTTCACTGCATGTAAAGTGGTTCACGCATGCATCACCGCATTTGCTAGCACAGTACACGCTCCCTGCTCCCAGCGCGGGTCTCGAACTCGGGACCTTGTGATTCGCAGGCAAGCCCACAACCACTCGGCCAAAGCGCTGGAAGATGTGGAGAGAATAAAGAAATCACTTTTCAGTAGCAGGAAAAAGGAAGGTTTGTTCCCCGACCCTCTCTCCCCCCCCCCCCCCGACCAATATATTTGCAAAGGAAACCGCAATGGAAGTCACTCACGAGACTAGGCCGGTCACATCTCTAACGAAGTTGGCTCATCACCCGCAACCTCGGTTGTTTTCATACAATGCAAGTCCCATCGGATATACATGTAGGTCGCTACAAAGGCCTAGGAAAAAAGGGATCCTCCGAACTTCAAAGGGTACTCACAGCTCGAGCTAGACTACATGAAGAAGACATTACCACGCAGGAACATGGCTCACGTGAAGACTAAGAAAACCTCTGCTCAAAGTAATGTGTTAGAAAAGCTAAGTAAGAAAGAATTGGGTTTGTTAAGCCGCATCATTGGTGGGAAAAAGTCGACCTGTGTATTTGATTGATTATGGGAAAAAGATGTTCACAAGCATTTCTTTATACACGTGCCTATACTATACATGTACAGAAGGGAATGAACATGTGCCATACTCAATGCGAAATCCATTCTGGACGAGATAGTCGAATTTGCGTGGATGAATGCAAAATTTAACTGCATATACTTTGAAGTAATATTTTGTATTAAATTTTGTTTTTAACTTAAGTCTATTATTGATACGGTCACAAAAACCCTTAATTATTGCCTTATACATTGGCCAAACCACCGGAGAAGGTGGACGTTGTTTCTCCTGTGAAAGACAAGTAGATGTGCTTTTTCACCCACCCAACCATCATGATGGAAAGGTCTGCGTTTGGATGGTTCCGCGTGAATCCACTATCTGCCGAAGATCCATTGCTTGGTCTCAAACGCTCGTCTGTCGTTATTATTCGCATTTTCAGAGTTCCCCATTTCGGCGTTGTCTGGTGAAAGTTTCCACCACTGGGATCCAGGAATCATAAAATGACCATAAGCCAGGTCCTCCCTTGTGAAAGGCAACTCTATATCTTCCTGAACTCCAAGGAAGTCCCTCAGCATATCCTCCAATCTTTGGCTGGTTCCATTGTGAACACACCGATGACCCTTTCTTGCATCTTCAAGAGTAACAGGCCTTTCTCTGGAATCACTTGTGAAGCGCAGGGGCTCGTTCCATATCGAAACATCATTTATTGTTACATTGAGTTCCGAAATGTTTGGACGTACACATGCTGCCCAAGGCTTAGCATCATTAGTTGTGAAGGTTCCCTGACTGTGTACGTTTGCGGCTCCGGCTTCTATCCGCCCTACAAGCCCGTGGGAATTGTTAATTGCATGAGTATCTTTGAACATAAGTATGAACTTGTCTGGGATACGTCCACTGAACACTGTGATAACAGAGTCTTTCCCGCTCATGTTCAGGGGAATATCTCTTTGACAGCTGAATTTAAATCGATAGTGACACATGTTTTCCTTCAACTCATTCAATAGCACTTGCTGAGTCCTTTGATTCAAGTGGTAAACTTTGCTCATAAACGACATCCTCATTATACGGTAGTCAATATTTTCTGGGTCAAGATCGTTCATGAACCACCCATGTCTGCATGGATCGCCATTGCTGGTTTCGACAATTAATCTACTCTCTGATTAGGGGGTATTAGCTGCTCGCATTTGAAGATTGTGTGCCTAGGCTTGACACATAGGATCAAGTCCCTTACATTAGTGTGCTTTGTAGGAGTGGAGATATCATCTGGATTATCACCCACACTGCTGGCAGGAGCTCCTCCCATCAGTAACATCAGGAGCACCAAGATCAACTGTATCTCCAACAGTAGAAGGTTCGTAATTGAAGGTGCCCGGATAACAGACGTCCGAGTGTACTACACTTCTACACTACAGCCTGTAGCCTATACTCTATAGGTTGTGCGTGCTTCCCCTAGCTGCATCTCATGAGATGCTCATGTTTGGCATTTTAGTGGTCTTTGTATTAAAAGAAATAAAAAAAATAGTGTAGGCTAGAAGTAGACCTGCGGCTCCAGGTTACCATGGATACTACTCTCAGCCTTGCTGCTAGCAGTGCACGTCTGTCTCTATGAGTCAGTGTCATGACACCTCGGAGATCATGCCTCGCATCTGTCATTGAAGAATAGACATGCAACATTCATATGTCATGGTGAAGTGAGATTTCGGATCTCGTTGCAGTGTGTGACCAAAGCCAAAGTCCTTCTTTTTTTTTTTTAATTGTTGAAGCGGTAGTTTGGAGGCCCGGCAGTGAAAATAGTTTCGTAATCTATACCTTTGCATGCAAAGACGCGGCATATCTTTGACAACAAAATTTAATGTAATCACGTGGGTGTGTGTTTGAGTATGCCCGTGTGTGCGTGCGTAGATGTGTGTGTATCCGTGTGCGTGGGGTCTATACCAAATCATTGAAATGCCCAAATGCACCTTCTTTACCTGTCTGGTCTGGAGACCACAGCTTACCAATGCTGTCGGTAAACAACTCGGCCAAAGATTAAGAACGCCAATGATCGGTAATAATAATTATTGTTCCTTTTCCCTTGCCTGTATTTCACCTGATGAGAAGGCTTGAAAGTATACTTGTGAAACCAAAAACTTTCAAGATGTTCGTAAAGAGCCTGAAGTGTGTCCTTTTTATGAGTATTAATAATATTGATGATGCTCGAATCTGATAATCATGTTCTTGTCACGCATGAATTGTGAAGAAAATCGACTAAATAAAATATCACATCGATGCTATTGGTAGTGGTATAAACAGAAATATTGGAAATTTGACAATTTGTCGAATGCTCTTCTTCAAAACGGCTTGGATGAAGCACTTTCATGCTTCCTCCTGATGCAAGGGGACCAGCTCAAGAGACTCTAAACGATGTGCTCTGTTCGTGCCTCGTTGCCGTCGCTTGTGCCGCCATTGCACAATACAGAGTAGTATGACTGATAGAGCGGAGAAGGCCATGACCCAGGCAAACTTGATACGCAGCTGGCTCATACAGCTGCCTATCCTCTGGCTGAATAGAGCGCCCACCGCTGCTCCTAATCCCATTCCCATCTTGGAGTTGGCCGATGCAGCCTCCTGATCGCACGGGAACACAGCTCCTATTATGACTGCAAACACACAATATGAACAGTCAACAGTTTATGCTCGATCCGAAAAATTCAGGTACACTATTTTCCGGAGTACTGTATAAGCAGAAACATTCATCTGGAATTTAATTTCGTGTTTGTCATCCAAGGAGCTTTTGGACTAAATTAAATGCCCGACTAATGTTGAGTTGTCCAGCTTTTCAATACCCTCTTATGATACATGGACGCAATTTTCAACCGGACGAACTCCCTTTCGTTGGAGTTGGACGAAATTATTGACCGACGAGAATTTTTCTGCCTGTACAGTATGAGCCACACGTTAAACACTCATAAATTCTCCCAAAAAAGTGAAAGTCTCGTGCTACAATGGTCAAATGAATAGTCAAATGAACCGTGATATACAGAGTAGATAACTGTAGTTAGTGGGAACAAAATCTGGCTGCGGCTTATACTCCGGAAAATACGGAACACGGGCATCCTTCACTAACAACACCGGTCTTATGCCTGTATATGTACCTACAAACGGACCTTGTGCAAAGATTTCCGTACAATTAGCCACATAAAATGGCTGAAGGCAATCCGCCTAAGCGTTCAACAGGGTCCATCGACTTAGCAAACATCACCATGATTCAGGATCGAAAAGTATTTCGCACTGCGTGAAGCAGAAGCAGCCTTTTGAGGGTGTTTTCCACAGCTATGAAACTGACTGTACAACGAGTGCAAGGCAAAGCCTCTCTCTCTCTCTCTCTCTCTCTCTCTCTCTCTCTCTCTCTCTCTCTCTCTCTCTCTCTCTCTCTCTCTCTCTCTCTCTCTCTCTCTCTCTCTCTCTCTCTCTCTCTCTCTCTCTCTCTCTCTCTCTCTCTCTCTCTCTCTCTCTCTCTCTCTCTCTCTCTCTCTCTCTCTCTCTCTCTCTCTCTCTCTCTCTCTCTCTCTCTCTCTCTCTCTCTCTCTCTCTCTCTCTCTTCTCCCTTACCATTGACAGATACGTTCCACATGGCGTCGGCAATTCCCCACATTCCCGTGAGAAAGAACAGCAGGGTGGCATTGTCGCTCGTCGGGGTCCAGACGAGCAGAATTACCATGACAGTAGACTGTATCACCATAGCAACACATGCAATCACTCCATTGCTGACGCGTCGCATCACCACTGGCAACGTCGACGTCATCAGGAAGCTCATCGTGCCGAAGGTAACGATCGCGTAGCCAACATATGCCACACCGAGGCAGGGAGTTATGAAGAACTACACAAGGAATATAAGTACCGCATATGGAGATTATCGCTAATACGTGCTTTGTTATCATTGTGGATTAGGAGGCACTGTGAAAGAGAAGGAATTCAAAGTATTTCTTGAAAAGAGCCCCAAGTCAGTTAGATTGTGAAAGACTTCCCCAACAGCAGGTGCTATTACAGACTGGGTAGGAATCTGTTCCTGAGAACCCGATCGGGTAGTTGGAGTATGGTGTTTTCGCAACGGTGCATGTAAAAAGCCCCGGCGATGTGCTTACTGTACACTTTCTACCTAGCGCAAGTGCACACTCACTGTACAAACTATGTCAAAAAATACCCGATAGGGTACCCGTGCTACCCGGACAGAAATACCCCAACTTGTTACCCGACCAAACCCCTACCCGTTGCAGATCTATTTTAGGGACATCATTGCCAACTCAATAACCTCCGATCGATTTTGGAAAACTGGCATACATCTCGGTTTCATCTCATGAGAACAAAGTATTATCTGACACATTGAACCATTGTTAGCACCAATACAGTGTCCAGAGATATACAGGCAGTCCCTGGGTTTACGACACTCTGTATAACTACGTGTATGCGTAGCTGAACCGTGCATGCCTCTCACAGCACAGAACATTAGGCCTCAGCATCATGCAGCTCGCACTGAGCCGCCCAGAACCAGAGGCTGAATGTCATTTTGCAAAGCAGTTTGCTCTGTTAGCCAGGATCTTGAAGAGCTGGAACCATTCAGCCCAACTTCAAGGAAACAAGACTCAGATGTTCCATCCCCTTCATCTCTGCCCCCCCCCCCTTGCTTCCTCTCTGCACCTAGCTGGCTGCTTGTTCATGGCTAAATAGACTGTACTCACGGATGTTAAGTTTCCTGCCAAGACCTCTCGCTCTATGCCCGTCATGCAGAATGCTGGGATGAGCAACAGCAAGTCGAAGTTACCAATCAGACGTCCAGTAGCCGTGACTTGTTGCCAGGCTGTGGACCCTGCAAGTTTAGCCTGAAACAAAACCGATGCACACAGGCAAAATACCCAAACTACTAATAACGCCACGGGCAACTATTGCTTATCTCTTCAACACAGTCATAGACAAAGGTAAAGATGGCATGTGCCCATCACCTTTGTCACCACTCTGTTCGTTTGCGCTCGGAATCAGTCTTCCATTCCCTGCCTGATAAAGGAAGAATGGGTTTGCATGCTGCGGGTGGCAAGTTTTCTGCTTGGTCTAATATTGAACACAAGCCTTGATCGATGCTGTATGATGGCTAAATCCGGCTAAAGAACTTCCCTGGCAGTACAAGTAATGATGAACTCGTAGCAGTACGCTTAGCATTGGCAACTGGAAACGAAACTGCAAAACTACGATTTGCCCCATACTCCATAGGTAGCTTTAATTTATTTTTAATTCCCCTTGTGTGCCAGGTCAAGTACATGAAGATATTAATCCTCACTGACGCTTCACAGAGACTTTGTTGGAAGAAGACAACACAGCACTTGCGATGTAGAGGCAATTAAGCAATGGCCAATGATATGAGGGCATTTGTACCCGATTGCTCTTCATAACCAAAACACTGGTGATATCGGCAAGACAGCTGCTCTGTAGCTACCGCTGCTTGCACTCTCTTTGGTAAGACTTTCTCATCGCTCTCACGATGTACTCGTATTAATGCTTGATCGCTTGATGACATCATCATTGTACCAATTTCGAAGTGTAATGGTGTGGACATCCTCATGGTGATTTTCTTTCTGAAGCAGTGAACTTACACTAAATTAAAGGAAGGTTGCACAAAGGCCGTTCAAACTCGGCAAAAATACTGGCAAATATTTCGATAACACAGTGGCCATGATGACATATATTCATAGTGCATGAACTATTTTACCATGCACAGCTGATCGCAATGGACAATGCGTGGAATATCTTCCATGGCCGCAGTGAGCCATGTGACACAATGCGGAAGAATGCATGAGTAACGTGCCAAACTTTGAAGTCTGCCCCTATTTTCCAAGTAACTGGGCAGCTTGTATCATACAGTAGTCTGCAGAATTGTGCACTCCTGTTTTGTATACGTCTGGCTCAAGAACAAAGCAGTGCCAAGTCTCCACAAAGGCTTGCGGTATTTTCCGGAGTATAAGCTGCACTTTAATTAAACACCGGCAATTCACCCAAAAAAAAGTCGGTGCGGCTTATACCATGTTGGTCGATTAGATGGTGATAAGTGGGGTCAACATCTAGCTTTTGTGACAAAAATCTTGGTGCGACTTATACTCAAGTGCGGCCTATAGTCCGGAAAATACGGCCCTCCACCCTACCTTGATGGTTGTTTTAGATGGCTGTCGCAATCGCAACGACAGCAGCAGACCAAGTATTGAGAGAACCTGGTAGGTAACTAGTAGGATTGTGCGGTCCTTGCTGCTCAACACCAGCTGTGCATGTATACAGCCCACACGTTCACAAACACATACACACACACACACAAGCATGCGCACGCACATACACACATACACACACAATCACACACACACACACACACACACACACACACACAATCACACACGCACGCATGCACACGCGCGTGCGCGCGCACACACACACACACATACAAGCAGAACATTTGCCTACGGACCATATACGGGCATTCCCTGCTGCACGGTGCCGCGCTTTGCAGAAAACACGAGAGCATGCCCAAGCCCCTTAAGTCCTCGGAAAAAGGTAGCATTTCTTCAAAAGCACTCCCATGCAGCATAGCTCAAGGAGCTTGTCGGAGTTCACTAGGCAAAACTAAGCATTACCCCACTCACTGTCTGCCGTACGTTCAACTTTCTCCGGGGCGTCGGAGGGTAAGTTAGGGTTGTACGGTCAAGCACCTGAGGTACAATGAACTTGTTGGGCCGGGGTGGCTCGGCTGAAATTTTTCGAAGTTTAGAGTCGAAATCAGCGCTTTAGATTGATTCATGGGGTACCTGGGGGCAAACAATGGTACGGTCAATACCATAGTGACCGTAGCGTGTCCGACACCCCTGTTGCTCCTTACCGTTTCCGTATCGTACGGGCAACCATGGATATTTGAATCGTTGGCGCTTTCTGGTCGGCTCCGCTGCGGGTTGTGAAGCACTACGGACGACACGACGGATCCCATAAGGTAAGACAGGACCGGCCCGTTGTAGATGATGCTGTTGAACTGCGGTCTCACTCGCTCTACGCTGATACCGTAGATGGCGGCGTAATCCATTGCACAACTATTGGCTAACAGCACCATGGCACTGGCATTCAGCACGTTTGTCACACCGACTAGTGTGCACATGAGCAAATAGTAGCTGGGTATGATGCGATAGTGCGCCGTCACGAACAATACCATGGGCACGAATGAAAGCTGTACAACTCGCCCGACGTTCAGTCGTCGGATGAGCAGTGGCAAGAGCAACATGACGCTGACCAGACCAGGGATGTAGAGCAGTGCAAAACATATCGAACCCAGTCCTCCTGCTGCGTTGATCGAGCTTTCCAAGAACATCAGACCGGACATGGGCATCAAAGCCAACACGGCAGATACCATGGCGATGATTGCGTTCCGAGCAAGGATTTTAGCATCTTCTCTGTTCTGCGCTGTGAGCGGTTTTCTTCTCTTCCGACTTCTGCTATGGTGTGATGACACATGTTCTGGAATCGCGGCTGAAAAGTTGTGTTTTGTCCAGTTGTTCGTCGTCTCAGTGTGACACGTTACCTCCGATACTTGGCGAGTGGCTATGGCAAAGGGTCTTCTGCTAAACCAGCACGTCGATCCAATGCATCGTTTCCCCCATCGTGCCGGGTTGCAATCACCTAATGCATCTCGAAGAATGGACGGTCCGTACTCGTCTAGTTCTGCTACCACCGAACACTCCGCTGGCGTACAGGGACTGGTTTCAGAATCGCTCCCCTCGTCCACATGACCCTGGTGAAACATTGGCGATTCCCGGCCATCTGCAACGGTTTCATCACAAAGCTCCGGCGCTATGCCCAAAGAATCCGAGCGTCCATCTTCGCCTGCACCCATTTCGGACGGCTACTGTACTCGCACTCGAATCCGAACTAACAAACGTAGCAAGCTCCAGTCACAAACGCCACAAAAACACCTTTCCAGTGACACAACGCCGTTCACACCTGACAAAAGGCGAATGATCTATCACCGTTATCATGCAGGAGCTTGTGCATGTGGAATCTGCTACTGCTCGAGAGCAAACAGCCTACCGCTGGTTTTTTACGGACCCCGCGGAACAATGAGATTTTCCCTGACTGCACCTATGGCATTTAGCCAATGCAGTGTGTGACTCTGTGAGGTGTGGCACTACACCATGTACACTGTCTCAGCAGTGACTGTGCACTCGGGCTACAGTCAATGTTGTTTGAGCAGAGACAGGCATGCCTGTGATGGTTGAGGCTGTGGTGAGTGAGAGAGGCCCAGTGACAGTGTCAGTGAGGGTCGGAGCTGAGCACCTAGCAGCGCTAAAGCAAACTAGGACTACGACTTGTAGGAGTACTTCATTTTAGCTCCCTCCGTGGTATTAGACTGTGTTCATAACCAATTTTTAGCTCATGTTCTTCCTGTTGAGGTTGCGCTTGTGTTTATTTTACCAGTTACTACGACTAGGACAAGGAGCAGTAGATCCAATAATCTAAAGCATACTACTACATTACAGCAGGTAGTTCTGAAGGAAACATCTACGTCGATAGATTTTCAGGCTTCAGCGTAGGCTAGAGCCTGAAGTAGTGCTACTTCTTTCTTCGTTGATCCACGCGTGTCTAGCTCACAACACCGCGCACGCCGCACAGTCAACACTACAAGTACAAGTACAGTACATGTACTGTCATACACGTAACAGTCGAGTCTTCGATCGAGGGCACGGCGGAGGTGCGGCATCCGGCCGCACGTGCACTGCGCGTCGAAAAGCGGAGATCGCGTAGTCAACATGTCGACGCGACATATCCGTGTCGAGCTCGGCATGATCAAAAAGGCCGACAGTGTGATGCTGTACACAGGAAGAGTGATCATGCCATCATGGTGTACTCTATTAATTTTTATGGAATCAAGCAAGAGACTGATCAACGACAACGAAGTAGTACAATAGTACAGTACTAGTACTAGTACTAGTCTAGTGTGCCCATAGCGAGCGGCTGTGATCAGCTGATAGAACAAGTACGTACATGTATGAGTGTTTTGATTAGTACATTCCTGTGGCATGAAGCGTACAAACTATTTTTCGTGAAGAGCTAGCTAGGCTGTCAGTCGAGTGCGCACTTGTTGTGACCGCTGCAACTCGACTTTTTGCGCATTTCTCTCCCCTCTTGTCTTGATACTTCTGTCAGGGACCGGACGTCGACGTGCTTGAGTGAAGTGTTCAAAAAGAGAGGTTTACAGCTCACATCAGGGAGCCGAGTGGTAAAACACCGTGTTCATGTAACATTTTTACAGGACTCCCTGGTGACCAGGTGACCATGGTGACTCGGATCAGGCTGTCCGTGTCAACCATGGACCCTGGTCAACAGGGTCAAGGCGCTAGGCTACAGACTCAGTCATTGTAGGTCGCGTCCGGGATCCCCATTCCCCGACTCCCCGCGGTGCGTGGTCATCAAGCTCAGCTGTTCTGGCACATCACGTGCACGCACCTGTTTTGTAGGTACAATGACTGTTCCACGTCTGACGTCTACGTTCACGATTTTTGTCATTGATAATAATTATTTTGATCTCATTGTTTTTACAATTACGTTTTAGGATGGGAAGAGGAACATATTAACAGGTGCGACCGAAATGGCCACAGATACCGGTAGATCTACGTTCAAGCATGCAATCACAAAGGAATAAATTTGTCCTGTGTGCAGAGCCAGAAGGAACAGTAGCTACGGTGTTCGTACATCTCGGACATGGATCAGGCCGACACGTCGCGGACTAGGGTCTCTCCAACAGTATCGTTGGTAGGTGGTAGAGGAATTCTGAAAAGTATAGCTTATACTATAAGTTATAGGTGAGCATAGCGAGCTGTTCACGGTTTGTCTCGAACATCTAGTAGTGTATTCGTATATGCCAGCAATAGTGTTCCTTCAACACTAACGCGTACATGTAGATAATCCAGTAGGTCACTCGGGAAACCATGGCCGATGAGGAGCCACCTATACTAGCCGATGCCCTAGGCGACTGGTTTGTGACCTTGAGTGGAAAGTGGCGGAGCTGGCGGAGCACTAGCAATGGTCATCAACTATTGCAGTCACGTGGCGAGCAGGAGAATGGAAGAAGTCATGAGTGCAGTAATACGACCACTGATGGAATTGGGAATGAGAACGTCAGTGATACGTGCCTGCAACGACCCTGTAGAAGTGATCACGATGCCAATAGCGAGCACAATGACCCCTCTCGTGCACACCCGCGCAGAAAGAACGGATTGAAAGTATTGACGGCCGCGGAGAAGCGTGATGCGCGGACGCACGCCAGGAACTGCTTCGTGGCCCTGATCTCGCTGACGTCCGTTCTGACGGCGTTTTTCGGCCTGCAAGCTCTGGAGAGTTCGATCAACTCCGACGGCGGACTCGGGCAGGCGTGCGTAGCCCTGACGTACTTCCCGTCGATTCTCAGCGTCACGTTCCTATCGCCGTTCCTGATTCGCCGGCTTGGCGTGCAGCGCGTCTTTCGGCTCTCCCTCTTCTCCTACTTGCCGTTCACCGCTGCACATTTCCACGTCATCCCTGGCGTGCTCCTCTCCGTCTGTGGATTTCTGGGTTTGTTTAACATGATGTTAGGTGTATCGGCCACCGTACTTGTGACGTGTAGCGCTATCGACTACGCGGCCATATACGGCATCAGCCCGGACCGCGTCATGCCGCGCTTCAGTAGCATCCTGTACGTGGGCCTGGTCACGGCGTACGTGACCGGACCCTCCATATCGTCCCTGGTGCTACACAATCCACCGCGAGCGTACGGCAACGGCTCTGCGTCCACGTACCAATGCCATGACATAGACGAAACGGTAAGGATGGTGTGCTGTGAGTGAATGTGTGTTCGATTTATATCTCAAACATATTCCACGGGTGTGTGCACAGGGCGGGTCAAAAACCACATTTCCGCTTCCATGGGACGCCACCACCTCATGATCAGGCGTCAGATGCGGCTACTAAACGGTGGGGGAGGATAGATCAGATTCACCAACCAGAGGCCAAAGCCTAAATCCCATTTTCCACCTCATCTGTTAGGACTGTGTAATTACCCTTGCTGCAAATATCTTTTACTGCTTAACCTTTTCCAAGTTTATGAAGAGAATACTCGTCATGCAGACCCTATGGCGCCTGCGCAAGGAAGAGTACGCTGGCCATGTTCTCTGTATCCAGTGCACATACCGTGCCATGAGTGCCATGTGTGGTACAGGATCCCTAGGCCCAGTAGTAGGGT